GTAAACCCGGGAGGTTGGAGCCGCAGCCGCGCGGCAGTCATGGTGAGAGGAGGACGATGCTGGCCGCGGTGAAGGAGGAAGGACTCGAGCTCCTCAGCGGTGCAAGAGCAGGGAGGTCACCGACGGCGGAGGAAAAAGGGGCTGAAGTGCAAAACAAGGAGCTGGAGAGGGGACCTGGGAGGAGGGAGCCGGCTTTTCCCGTGATGCCGAGTGGCACGGTAAGGCCACGACTGGCGTGGAAGCCAGGCCACCTCCTGCTGGCCGGTGTCACGCTCGCCCGACGGTGGCCGGGTGCTGCCCCGTGGTTTGTCCCAAAAAGCTCTTCCCCAGCCGCCCGGCATCGCTGGGAGGGCACCGTCCCCGGCTCTGCCGCAACTTTCTTCCTCCTGGTGGCCGTGTGAGTGGGACAGCATCCTGCTCCCGCGAAGCCACCGTCACGGTGTCGCTTCCCAGTTCAAGTCCAAGCCCGGGGCACGTGGCCCATCCCCGCCGGCGGTGCCGCCGTGGTTCCCCCGGTGCCCGTGGCGCTGCCCGGCTGGGGAGAGGGGCTCAAGTCGGCGTTTCTCATCCTCCTGGGCGAGCGGTGGCTACACCTCGGTGCAGTACGCCGTAGCGCTGGGGGAGACAGGAGAGGGATGTTGCTGGAAGGGAACCGGCCGCCTCGGGAAGCGATGGGGAGGGGTGGAAAAATCCTCCAGGTGGGAACGGGGCCTTTTGCCAAAAATAAATGGAGGAAGAGCAACACCGGCGTTCGTGGGGGAAATCCCTGCCTGGGGGAAATCTCGCCGGCAGCGGGATGGCAGAGCCTGAAAGCTGCGGCGTGGGGGTGCTGAGCCCCACTCGCCTCTGCCCCCACCCGGGGTTTGGGGTGGGGGGGCCGTGGTAACAGATGATAGGACGAGGGGGAATGGTTTGAAGCTGCTCCAGGGCAGGTTTAGGTTGGACATTGGGAAAAACTTCTTCGCCGAAAGGGCTGTCAGGTTCTGGAAGGGGCTGGCCAGGGGGGGGGGCCGGGATCCCTGGAGGTATTTAGAAGAAGGATAGATGAGGTGCTTAGGGACAGGGTTTAGTGGTGGGATGGCAGGGGTGGGTTAAAGGTTGGACTCGACGATCTTAAAGGTCTTTTCCAACCAGAATGATTCTATGAGTCTATGAAGAGGGATGGGCTGAGCCTCTCCCAAAGCGGGGCTCAGTCCCCGGAGGATGGCGGCCCCAGGGTGGCCCAGCCCGTGGCTCTCAGCTGCATTGGTTCTGCTGCCAGCTCAAAGACTTTTTGTTTTTTGGTTTTTTGGGTTTTTTTTTTAACAAAGCTTAAATGGAAAATTTGGGCAAAATGGCTCCTTGTTTTTACTTGGAGCTTTTCTCTTTCTGAAGGAAAAGCCAAAGCCAAGCAGACCCTTCCACGGGGGGAGCTCTAGCACTCAATGGCCTCAGGTGGGACTCATTTCGGTGGCCTTGAGAGCCCAAAAACAGGGCACCTGGGCTAGCAAGCTGGCCCCGGGGCATGGAAGGAGGTGGATCCTCGTTTATGGGTAATGCTGCTCATCTTAAAAAGAGCTCAGGTGGGAGAGGCTGGGCTGAAGGCTGGGGTGGGGGGAAGCTACCCCAAGAAGGGGTGATGGAGGAGCTGCCCTGAGGACCGGGGCTGGCAGCCCCACCTTCTCCATGCTGGCAGCGGAGCGTGCCAGCCCGGCTGTGGGGCTGGGGGGGGCTGCGTCCCACAGCCAGGCATGTCCCCGGGGTGGGGCGGGGAGGGGCTGTGCCAGCACTGGGCACCACAGCCCCTGGTGCCTTCGCAGCACTGCCCACCTCAGTTCTCGATGAAGGTTGCTGTGCTTTCTGCCCAGAAATTCATTCTTAACCCGCTGGGGGACATCGGGGACGTACCAGGCTGCAATCAGCTTGACGCACAGAGCCACGTGCTGCGGGAAGCAGAGGGAGCCGCCGCGGGCAGCGAGGGGCTCCCCGGGACGCCGGATGTGGCCCATGCCAGCGGCACGGACCTGACCCCTTTCCCACTGCCACCACTACCCCCCCGATTGCCCCGGCCTCCCCCGGTGCTCACCTCAAAGAGGATGAGGAAGGCAAGCCGCGCTGCGAAGATGTGCCAGAACTGGACCGTGTAGCTGTAGTCATCGGCGTTCCTGTAATCCCGGTACCTGCAGCACAGCCCCTGCCACCCCCCCCCCCCGATTGCCCCGGCCTCCCCCGGTGCTCACCTCAAAGAGGATGAGGAAGGCAAGCCGCGCTGCGAAGATGTGCCAGAACTGGACCGTGTAGCTGTAGTCATCGGCGTTCCTGTAATCCCGGTACCTGCAGCACAGCCCCGTCGGTGCCAGCCCAGGCTCCCCGGTGCCTCGGCTCCCTCCAGGGGGGGATGCTGAGAGGAGCCCCGGTGGCTGCCCCCGAGCCCTGCTCTGCCACCAGCCCCTTCCCCGGCTGCAGGTGACATCCCTGGATGTCACGGAGAAGGGCTTGGGAATGCTACCGAGCCAAGGCCACGGGCGGCTGGTTACCTGCACTCCTTGATCTCCTCCCTGAAAAAGCGCGGCAGCGTTTCGGGCACCTTCGTGTGCGGCTCGAAGTCTCGGAT